AGTTCTTCTGTGTATTCTTGCCACCTCTTCTTAATATCTTCTGCTTCTGTTAGGTCCATACTATTTCTGTCCCTTATTGAGCCCATCTTTGCATGAAATGTTCCCTTGGTATCTCGAATTTCCTTGAAGAGACCTCTAGTCTTTCCCATTCTATTGTTTTCCTCTATTTCTTTGCATTGATCGCTGAGGAAGGCTTTCTTATCTCTCCTTCCTATTCTTTGGAACTCTGCAAACTGCTATTCTCTGAAACTCTGTTTCTCCATTGCTGCCCTTCAAGTAAATTCTTCAGTACCATTTTTCTAGACTCCATATATATGCATTAGTATATGATATTTATCTTTCTCTTTCTGACTTACATCACTGTGTATAATAGGCCCCTCTCTCATTTTTAAAAAGGAAAGTAGTGGTTTAATAAGTACAGTTCAAAAAATACTACAGCTTGTTCTTACACTTGAAATCCTCTCCTTGACAAATGTCTTATAAACATTCCAAAGGAAAATTCTCAGTAGTATGAACATTTGATATCCAGTGAGACAATTTACATGACAATGTTTTGTAGATAATAATTATGACAAATATGACTTCTTATTCCTACAAGATTTTAGTCCATTCACCAGATGGAGAAACTCGCTTATTTAAGTTTATTTTTTGCTGAGTTGGGACCAGCAATTAGCCCCTTGAACTTTTCAAGTCCAGTGTTGTATTTACTATGTGCCATCTTAATGCTTCATTGGCTTGCCTGCAAAAATTATTAGTGTTAGCCCCACCATCATTTTCTGGCTTAAAATAAAATAACATCCTTAAAGATTACTTGCCAATGAACTTAGTTTTAATTACTTATGATGAATTTCAAGTTATAAAGGGGAATGTGAGAATTTTAAATTACTGAGAAACATGGGTTTTGTTTTGTCTCTAAAAAGAGAGTTTTCTTTTCTAAGGTTGGCTATAGTTTTTGACTTGAGGATGTCATGAGTTTTAATTTAGTTTGTCCTGGTTCTGCAGTGAAAAGTTTCATATTGGCCTGGCTCAAGATGTAAGAGACAAGCAGAAGATACCTGCACCCACACTCACACAAAGTGTAGAAAAAGAGTGGTTTTAAATTCAGGTGAGAATGAA